CCCCCCCCCTTTCTCTTTCTCTCTTTCTCACCCAACCCCTCCTCTCTTTCCCACCCCCTCCTCTCCCATCCATTCTCTCTTTCAGACATCTTTCTGATAATGCAGAACTTTCTGTACAATCATTTTGATGTTGGAGCCACCCTGGTCACATTTTGAGTTACGTTGTTTTGGTGCGTCGCCATCGACCACACAAGATGGCGATTGTTTCATCTAATATATGAATATACAGCAAATACTCCATTGTCTACGTCTGTAGCAAAAACCACCTCACACGTCAACTTTTTTTGTTCACAGGTTCAAGGGCTTTGTGAAGATAAACACTCCACTCATAACCTAATTCCTGCTGAACTTATTCGTGAGGTAAGCCTGTCTCCTTTTGCAAAAGCTTTATTATATTATTATATTGTTCATTTTCCATCTCTATTTTTCTCTTTTCTTTTATTCACACGCCTGTTGTGTTCTCTTCACTCTTTCAGTGTTATTTTTTCAGAAATTTATTTTCCTTTCCTTTTTATTCTTCGCGTTGATTATGTTGTCCCGTCATGCTCCACTGCTATAATGCAGAATGTTTGAAGTCGTGGCCCTTCAGCGTATACTCTTTGAGAGGAGTGATCTTTCGATTTGCTTTTTCCGAACTGTGCGAGTTCATGAATTGAAACATAAACATTGTTTCAACCACTTTCAGCCAAAACGAGCCTCTTTGGAAGCTAATTTCTTTTGTGTTTAGAAACATAATTTGTAGAGCGTCAGTCTGTCTGACAGAGAGAAAGGGACTCCCTGAAAAGCGAAAGAGGGCAAAACTATTCTTTACCGAGTGTCTTGAGCAATACAGCGAAAGTTGTGACCTCTGAGCTCAACGCCAACAGAGATTGGTAGGAGAACTGTAAGTTTTAAAAAACCGCCCAATTCTATGCAGCTTTTTTTTTTTTTTTTTGGCAAAGCAAAACTCATTGCGAATGGAATGAGAAACGTAAAATATGGCTGTATACAAACACGCTTTATTATTATTTTAATATTATTTTATTCTAATTATTATCGTTATCATTATCATTACTACTATAAGTGTCTATAGGTATTTTCCATGCGCCCTTCACCTTGAAATGAAGCCTACATGTAGATCTACGTCACGATCTCCTTCTTTGGAATTTTGCTCGTGACAGAGAATGCCAATTATTCCCCGGGCTAGTCAGAATACCTCCCCATAAATCTGAAATCTCTCCGCTGGGAGCCAATAAGTGCTTCCGGTTTTGGAATAACTCCCCGTCCTTCTACGCCCTCGTGTTCTTGAGTTACGCCCCGAGTGCCATAGAACTCCAAATACTCGCGACTTATGGGGACTTCGCTGAAGTGAAAAGTCGAGTTTGGACAACACCCGAATAGTTATTTGATGGCTGTCTCCATTTTACTGTTTTCCAACAGCGTCTTTCTTTAGTTTGGCTAGTTGGGTTTTGTTTTGATATCAAACGGAGATAGTGAAACGGAGAAAGTAGATTCAAGTACACACTTGAGAATCGAAAAAACAACAACCGCGAAATAGTTTAGATTTAATGCCCTTTTCAATACTGTAAGGTTATTTACAGGGCGAGACCTCCGACTTCAACATCCATCTTTGACAGGTGGGTGGTTGGCGGGTGCTGTGGTGTGGTTTGCTCCTTCCTTCCTGTAAAAAAAAAATCTATCTTCTCTATCTCCGCTCCTTCTTTTTTGTATTTTTACTCTCTTGTAACACCTCAAATCTTTGGCACTTATTATATGACCTTATTGTGTTGCAAGTGCTGTAAAACTCTTACTAAAACTAACATCTTTGACAGAACCGAGCGTTATGTCCGATTAAAGACTGGTCATAACAACCCAAGTTCAAAACGGCTCGTTGAGGATTGCAACAAGGGCCACCCACCCCGTGGTCCAGCATGATACCAAAAATGTCTTATCGGCGCGCCAACACATGAGAAAAAGAAAGTAGAAAGAAGAGGAAATAGGGTAAAAATCTTTCGAGGGAGAATGGCCAATTTGTTCTGAAGATTTCAACATTTTAACTCATCTGAGGGTCAGGCCCTCCATAGAAGTAGTAGTAGTAGTAGTAGTAGTAGTAGTAGTAGTAGTAGTAGTAGTAGTAGTAATATGGGTAAGTGCCCGTGTTTCTACAATTAACTTTAACATTACTTAGCTCTGTATAGACGAAGCGGACACCAATGTCCAATCATCAGCAGACCAAAGGCAGTGTTGTGGCAACATTTTGGATCATCATACACAGATCAGAAACATGAATTGAGTATTTTATTGTGGTCGTGTTGTTGCCGGTGTTTTTAATTTTCGGATAAAAGAAACAGAGCTGAAAATCAGTAAAAATTTTGTAGGAATAGTGAAGGTTATAATTTAATGTTCTTTATAACTGCCCCAGAAAAGCACGCTTTCAAGCGCTGTCAAATAAAAAACAAAATACGCATCTCTGTTGCGTAGCACTTCGGCGCTTTGCTGTTGCACGCAGAAGGCCCGAGTTCGATTCCTGTGTGGGGGGGAATTTACATCGCGCATTTCGGTTTTTGTTTTAGTTTTAGTAAGCGTTTTATGGCACTTGCAACACAATAAGGTCATATAAGTGCCGAAGGATAGGTGTTACAAGAGAGATAAGGACGATAAATGTTTGACAGGAAAGAAGGAGCAAACCACTCCAGAGCACCCACCAACCTCCCACTCGGTTTTTGTGCTTGGACGTTGTATTCCATTCAGCCGGAGTTGGATGATAGGCTGTGTCGAAGCTTTAATGATCTAAACTGTGTCGATGTGTGCGTAAAAGACCTACACTAAAAAAAAAAAGAAGAAAGAAATGGGCGTCCTTAGTGGATTAAAGTAAAAATAAAAAAGCAAACTGTGTGACTGAAACTGGAGCAATTGTACTACTTACACAATGTCAAAGAAGAAACCTCTAAAATGTGACCTCTATTTGAGGAAATGTTCATGTTTCCTTTTTTTTTCTCCATTGTTATTTATCTCTGAAAGTCACGTATGAACATCAAAACAGAAAACGAAAGGAAGAAAGCCTTGCTTATGAAACAACATTTTTTTTTATTCGAGGCCAAAGTTAAACTGCTGGAGATACATCAGG